TATGTAATCTAAATCTACCTTTTCCTTTGGAAAGTCTGATACATTTCAGCTGTATGTAGTCCAGACAAGCTTTTCCTCACCATTAACACTGCTGAAATGTCAGTTTTCTAATTTAAGTCAAAAGCAAACTGGGCCAAAATCGCACAAGATTTGATCTTGCTGTAAAGAATTCAGTTTGAATTATGAAAAACATAACATTACTCAATAAATGTTTTCTCCAGGTAAACCTTTTCTTAGACTGTTCAAGTCCTTACAGAACTCCATAGAATTGGCCTGTGTCCCAGACCAACAAACAAAATTTGCCCCAAGCAATCTTCTCCCCTAGAATAAGGTAGCAATAGGAGTGGTTAATAAAGTCAGTAGTAACATTTCCTGAGAAATTCACAATCCTGACACATGTGAGAAAATAAGTTGGTCGAGTTACAGTATACTTCAAAATCCCCATCTTGAGGAAAGAAAATACCTCATCAGTATACCGGGTTATGTGATCATGTCATAAAGCACACATGCAAATATTACTGCAAAAACATGAAAGAACTGCCTATAAGGGAAGTATTCATACCATACCTTCCCTTTTCCATGTGGAATTCCTAAAGGACAGTGTTTTATTGCACCTAGCAAAGCAGCAACAGCAAAACTGTAGCCTGTTACTGCTTCTGGGGAGGATTTCAATGCACTAAGACGTTCAATGCAACGATCCAACAGTAGGGACAGATAGGAGGGCAATGCTACTGCAATACAGCGTAAACACCAAGCTGCTATTAGTCTGACGGAAATGCTGGGATGAAGAATGACAGAAATTACTGCTTCCAAAACTCCTGAAAAACAAAATGCATAAACACACTTAAGAAACACACAAGCAGCCTATCAGACAAGTAAAAATGTATACAGAATACTGGTAACATACCACTACTGAGTTTCTGTACTTCTCTTTAATAAAACTATTAATTTTTACTGTGAAATGTTTCTTATCAAATTTAAATACCTCAGTACTTTTCAAAGAAAGTTACACTGAATGAAAACCTAACATATTATCCAGATATTCACCAACATGTATAGAAGATACTTGTAAGTATTCTCAAGGAAGCAGTGGAAACAGATGTCCACTTGAACCCATCCAGAAAAAAAAAAAAATAACAACTCACTGCAGCTAAATGAAAATAATAAAGGTACATGAAGATACCCAGCTTGAACTGATTTACTATAAACATTATAAAGTGATGGACTTCTACAAACCCTTTAAGGGTTGTATTTGAAGAAATCACAGAAGATCACAGTGAACAAAGGAATATATTTTGTATCCTGTTTCACAGAATAATGCAGTGCTTGTACCTGTACTGGAGTCTTGTAGTAAGGGTGCTGCTGTAGTTCCTAAGCCATGAATAAGACTTCCAAGTTCCTGAAGTGCACACACAAGCACATGCTGACTTACTGTTACATCTGTTGTACTAATTCTTGTTTCCAAGTTACTGTCACTCATTGCAGCATCTGATAACACAACACAGGAAGATCCCCATGAAATAATTTCCAAAATGAAACAAACAGATTGGAAACAGGATTTTTTTTAAGACATTTTTTATATTACCAAATGTGCTTTTGCCATTACCATTTTAATTACTGACCAAACTGTTTTCATAAAGGTTTACCTTCACTAAAACATTTCTATTACTCAATGGATAGTGAAGTAATATCTGCGAGGGCAGGAGGGTAGACAAAATGGAAACTACCAAATTGCTTATCTTTAAGTGATGGGGAAGAGTGGCTATTAAGAAGCATGCTATTCTCAGCCTCACCGAAAGTGACTTGAAGAGATCATGCTTTGATAGAACTCACCAGATTTT